TTTTTTTTTTTTTTTTAATTTCCTTACCCAGCTTCTCTTGTTCTCTTGTTCTATTCCTTTTGCCATTCTAGTCCTCTGTACACAGCAGGTGCCTGCTATATGTTCTGAAGGTAGCAGCAGAGAAATTTTCTTGTAAACTGCCCAGTCTGGCCTTGTCAGTCAGCTGCTTGTCTTTGCCAGAGGTGAGACCCAGGAAAACGGTCTGTGTGTTTTTTAGCTGGAGGCCCTAAGTAGCAGCTGGTGGGGAGGCCTTTTCTGGCCCCTTCCGGGTGACCTCTCCACCCCCCACCCATATTGTGGTTGCTGTCCCAGACCAGCATCAACTTCTTACCGCTCCCAGGCCCCATGCTCTCCACTCATCATCAGCTCTGGCCTGTAGCAGGGACCAGAGCTATAAAGCACCTTGACTGGAAACAGACTCAGCTGCCATTATTACTGAGCTCTAGAAATCTGCTCAATAATATCTCCGGAATAGGCCTTTTAAGAGCTGCCTGTGGCTTGGCGCACTTTGCCACAAGACGGTCGCATGACCTCTCCTCTTCAGCCTAACTTTCTTAGCATCGCGATTCTCAAGTCCTTTATGCAAAAGCCAAGCTTCTTTGCCCAGTGCCTTGGACCTCTCCTCCTTGTTCCATTCTTGTTCCTTCCTTGAACCGCCCAAAGGCTTTCGGGAGCAGCCGCTTCAGCCTGTGTCCTTCCAGCTGTTCTCTGTCCACTGCTCAGGTGGCCTATGAGGCCCCAGCCCTAGAAGGAAAGCTCTACCAGGACGGGGGGTGGGGTGGGAGGAGGAGCGAGGGGCAGGTAGGCTTTCCTTCACTCTCCAGGCCTCTAACCAAGACTTCGCTTCACCCGGAGTGTGGTCCTCAGTAGATCCCCTCTGTACAAGTTCATTCACAAAAACTACAGTATTCTTTCCTAAACTGTGGTCCAGCTCTCCTGGGCTGAGAGGGGTGTGGTGTGACGGGACAGAGGGAATGCCAGAGTCGGATAGTGCTGCTTTCCATTCCCCATCTTTGACTATCACATAGCATTTTAAGTGATCAGGCAAACGGGGAGTTCTGGGCTCCCGAAGGCACAAGAGCGAAACATGAGCATGTCTGTGACACCTGAGTTCCTCTCGATTCGCAGGCTCAGGGGCCTTTGAGGTACTGCCATTGCTCGGTTCCTTCCCAGTCTTGAAGTAACAGCACGTAAAACTGATACTTGAAAAGCAGTCATCTGGGGCGCCTGGGTGGCTTGGTCGGTTAAGCATCCGACTTCG